TGTGCCACGCGCCAGTGAGGAACCGATTACTACGATTCTGCCCCTGTTCGTTGAATTTACCGTTTTGTCCCTCTCCGCATTTATTTTACCGTTCTTCCCTTTTTCGCGTAAATTTTACTGTTTTGCCCCTCTTAGCATTGAAAAATTTCGATTATGCCCTTGCATGCAATTTTGTGATATTTTATGCGTATAATTAAATGTCTAGTGATCCATATAGTTTTAATTAATTGGAGAGTAGCCACAACATCTTTAATTAGTTAAAATTATATATTAAGAACCTCCGGATTACATTTAGAAAAGAACATTGATTGTAATTAATCGTATAAATATAATAAATTTTATCCCATAAGAATTTTCATTATATTAATATGATTAATTAGGATGAAATATCATATTATTTTTCTTAATTTACTCATAGTGATTAAGAAAAGGAATATAATATGATAGTTTCTTCATAAAGTTAATTATGAATCTATTTAAATTAAAAACTTAGCCCACATACAGTTTTTATGTTATGTGATTCATATTTTGTTACATATTTTACATTGGTAAAGCATGATATATGTTTGATGTGCCTCAAATTTTGTGACATAAGCATATGTGTTTGATATGCAGTTTTACAACCTGTGAATTTCTTTGAATTTAAGAATGATGTTCTCGTGCTGAATGGTAAAAACCATAAAGTTTGGAAAGAGCTAATCCTTCTTCAATTGGGGTGCATGAACATTGACTATGTTATAAGGAAAGACGAATCACCTGCTCCTTCTGACACAAGCACCGCAGCTGAGATAGCCATTTTTATGAACAATAGGAGCGGTCCAACCGCTTTAGTGTGATGTTCATAAAGACTAAAATATCTCTTAGTATCCGTGGTTCGGTCACTTAGCATAGCTAATTTTCAGTCTTCTGCTATAGTTAATTTTCTAACAAAACTCCCATCAGTCTGAGGATAACTAGCATATCTAAATTAAAGTTGAGTTTCCATTGTTCGCCAAAATTGAGGGCCACACTATTTCCATCCTCAATATGACTAAATCCACTTCATTTTCATCAAGAACACAAAATTGCCTGCAATCATCCAATTGCAATTCAAAATGGTGGCCATAAATTTATTTACTTTCCTTCCTTATTATTTTTTTATTTCTTAAGATCTAGTTGCCATAATTAAGCATTTCACATTTTCTATTTTTGTTTATTGTGAATATCTCATGTGTATTAAATGCACCATGTTTTCTTTTTATTTTTAGATTTTACTTTTGTAGAAATAAGTTTTTTCAAAACGAGAAATTTCAAGAAGCCTAATTCGTTTCAAGGTTGTCGAGCAAATTTATGCATTAGATGTCAAGTAGAATTTAGAAAAATTATAACATAGACTATTTTTAACACAATCACATCTTCATAACATTTACTTTTGTTGTACATATTACCATTGGTCCCTTTCTTATCAGTTATCTTTTTATATTCATATACATATAATGGGATGATTGGACGAAATAAAAAGAAAATTCTTTTAAAAATTTTCCAAAATAAAAACACAATTACATTCCCCAACGTGAGACTTTCAAAGATGAAATATATTAAGTAAAACATTTGCATAAAACAAGAATTTTTTTTTAAAAAAATCCCATCATTTTGGATTGAAAAAATTTAATATAATTGTTGAAGTACTTACCACAAAATTTCAAGATCTCTCGTTGTGCATAAAATTTTCACGTTGATGATTTTAGTATTACATGCTCCGTGTAAAAGTATTTCACCAAAAGTAGGGAAATAGACAAATACTTTGATACCGTAAATAGAGAGCCTTGATTTGTATTTTAGACTAATGAAACTAGAAAATAAAAAATAACTTTTGAGATAAGAGGGATGAAGAATAGATAGGTTGTTATAAGAATGATGAAGCATGTAACTATGATTTTATTTTGGAAAGTGTCCATTGAAAGGAAGTAAAAATAAACAAGTGACTATGTTAAAGAATTGTTCTATGTTAAAAAAATTTCAGATTCTACTTGACTATTAATGATAATAAATTAGCTCAACAATGTAGAAAATAATAGGTTTCTTGAAAATTTCCCTTTTCAACAAAACTATTTTCTATGGAAGTAAAATTTAAAAATAAAAAAGAAAACATATTGCCTTTAATATACATAGGAAATCAACAGTAAATAAAAACAAAACATGTGAAATTGTTGATTATGGCTCCTAAATCTTATATAGAAAAAGAATGAAAGTAAATAAAAATATGGGATCACCACTTTAAATTGCAATTGAATGATTGAGGACAATTTTGTCTTTTTGGTGAAAATTGGGTAGATTTAGACATACAAAGGGTAGAAGTAGCTCCACACTTTTTTTTTTTGTGTGTAGAAATCGAAGGGACTTTTCTTTCCTTTTGAGAAACGGTATAAGTCTTGCGAGAAAAATAAACATGAACATTTTGATTGCATGACTTTTTTAATCGAAGAGTCCGATTATCTTATTATTTATCATTTTTCATTTAAAACTACTATGATTTAATTTGAAAAGTAAAATATAAGTACGTGTTTTTGTATTTTTAAATTTTGATGGTTAATATGCCTAATTAATGAGGAGGAGCCAACTAAATTTTGATAGGATATAAGATTTGTAGGTACTAGACTTTTATCTTTGACAATTAGTAAGGAGAAGTCAAGTTTTTATCGGAGTTTTAATAAGGGGATGCAATCTGAAATATGAAACTAAAAGAAAAGGCCAAGAGGACTTATATTGAGATATTAATATAACTTCATGACTCAAATCCATGTTACGAATGCAAACACCCACGCCACACTAATAGCTGAGGACAAGAAAAACATTATAAATCGGGAAAATTATCCAAAAAGTCCTAAATTTATTGCACTTTTGCCAATTCAGTTCTAAACTTTTCAATTTTGCCAATTGAGTTATAAATCTTTTCACTTCTTACCAATTGAGTCCTAAACATTTTCAGTTCTTGCCAATTTTGGCCAGAAATTACTTCCGTGGATGCCGGCCGGCCTACGTGGCACTGACGTGGACAAATTTCAATATTTTTTTGAATATTTTTATTCTTTATTCTTTTTATTTTCTTTTTATTTTTTTTTTGTCCCCTTCTTCCTCCTCTAGCCGATCGCCGGGCGTCGGCAACCGACCAGAGGAGAGGGCCGGCGAGGTCGACCTCGGGCGAGCCTCTCCCCCACCGGCCACTGGCAAGGCCGACCTTGCCCAGCCATGGCGAGGTCGAGCCTTGCCATTCCTAAGTGAGGTGGCTTGCCATGGCTAGGCGAGGGCGAGCCACGCCATGGCTCTACCTCACTAGATCTAGTGAGGCTGGCCTCGCCTAGACCTCGATAGGGACTAGCGAGGCTCGCCCGAGGCCGGCAAGGTCGACCTTGTCGGCCCTCTCCAACGATCGGCCGGAGGAAGAAGAAGGGGAAGAGAAAACAAAAGAAAAAAAGATAAAGAATAGAAAATAAAAATAAAAAATTCAAAAATATTAAAATGTTATGAAAAATTCACGTTAGCGCCATGTAGGTCGGCCGGTGTCCATGTTAGCACTTTTCGACCAAAACTAGTCAGATGGACTCAATTGGTAAGAAGTGAAAAGGTTTAAAACTTAATTGGTAAAATTAAAAGGCGGTACCAAGTTACCGGTTGTCCCATCTCCGCTAGAAAAATGTAAATTGAGCAAAGCTAATGCTTGTATCTTTCAAATGTCCCTCAGTTGCGACACGTATGAAAGATGGTAAGAAAGAATACAAGGTTCGAACCATAACAAGATAAAACATAAAAAGAGAATTTGCATTCTCTCTCTTTCCAACTGTTCTTAAGTTCATTTTGCACATGATCAATAAAGAAGATGGCACAGCCTCCAAATTAGCCAGAACTTATTTAATGTGGAGTTTTTTTTATTAACATTTTCCGGTATTGGACATGCATTAGTAGGAGATCATTGGTCACAACCGGTATTGGCGGCGGCGGCGGCGATTGCTTATTAGAATGATTGTGACTGATCACGGAGGCGGCCCATCATATTGCCCTACAGAAAGAGATCTGTGGCGACAACCACCAGACGTTGGCCTCAAGCTTTCACCATACTCAAAGAGCAATTTCACCATATCAAACCAAAACTTAACCACTATCCTTTTAATAGGTCTAGAGAGAAAGAGTTGATACCATGATTTCAAGATTAGCTCTTGTTATTAAACTCTTGATCTACAAGTTTTAGTTTAATAATATTTTCAGGATTACTTTTATTTAGATTATGATTTTGATAAATACCATTACTTATTTCAATTTCGTATTTTTAAGGAGGTTATCTTTTGCTAGGTAAGAAAGTAGAAGGGGATTTTAATAGGATTAATACTACGAAAAATGTCAAATTGGTACCTAACTCCAAAGTGGTACATATATGATAAATTTATCTTCCGTTAAATTTTACCATCAAATTCCTGAGTTGAATGACTCGTGACAGTTGACGAGCGTACCGGTTTAGGGTTTTACCGTCCGTTTGTCACAAGTGTACCGGTTTGTGATTTTTCGTGATATTAATTTAATTTAACTGAAATTAACAGAGAATAAATTTATCGTAAGTATACTAATTTAGAGTTTGTTGTGGTATTAATCTATTTTAATAATACTTTGGGGATTACTTTTTATTTTGAGTAAGATTTTGAAAAATATTGTCACTTAAAAAATTTCTTGTTTTCTCTTTTTTATTTCTTTTTTGGTCAAACATTTCTCGTTTTCTCTCACTCGCTACGCTACAGCAGCTAAAAAGGTGCTCCTTTTACTTCTTGCTCTCATGGAGGCAGCAGGCGGCGGTCGATCGCCGCCGCGGCTGGTCGCCGATCGAGTCTACGCGGCCGCGGGCGGCGACGTGCAGAAGGGCAGGTCGACCCTCTCGCGGGCGCTACAGAATTTGGGCGGCCGCTTCCGCATCCTCCGTGCTCAACAGCCTCCCGAGGACGATGATGACGATGATCGCGACCCTCGCGACCCATCTCGTAAGTTTCAGTTCGGGAACGCCGCCTACGACTTCGTTCACTTCATGCCGTGAACAAAGTACACTGACGTGAAAACGACGTTATTTTAGCTGAAAAATTATCTGATGGAACATGGTGGTGGGAGGATAGGCGTGTCATGTGGAAACAAGTTTCGGGTTTTTTATATCGTAAGAAAAAGAAAATGTGAAGGATAAATATATCACGGTGAGTATACAATTCAGAAAAAATGTGTTACGGTAGGCATAATCTTGGGAGTTTTTTGTGGCTTTTTTCTTTTTTCTTCGAGACACTTCGTATCGGACTAACATGAGATGAACTGATTTACGACGGCCTAGGGACATGGTGCAGCGGGACATTACAGACGCAATGTTAAAGTTTGCTACTTTAGCTTGGTAGAATGCTGACTGCAGCCCAGCATGTATGATGATTCCAAAAGGGCACAGGGTATCTGCTGTATCAATGATGGTGCTACTTGTGAGAATGGTTTTGGTTTATCTCTGGCACTGTTGGCTGATAAGCCGAATTCATCCGATATTAGATATTGTAGAGATTGCTGTGTTGAATTCCACAAAGATGTGACTACATATGAGATGACTTTTGGTGATTTGTGGTTGAATGCAACTCTTGGCCGTTCCTCGTGTTGGTGCCTCTAACCAGTGAGGTGATCCCGAACTAACATTTTGTTGAAAGTACTTCCCTATCGCCCCGTCTGAAGAAACATTTCTGACTCGTATATACAAGTCATTGGACTTTGTTGTGAGATGGTGGTCATGTAGTTTTCCATGCAAAAATAACCCCCAGTCTGGAAGTTAGCATGTGCCCGCAATTTTTGGAAATCGTGGTATAGTCCAAATGTGATGCATTTATGAAACGTTTGCATGCTGCGAGGTTTTTCTTATTCTGAGGACAGATTAGCTGTGGCGAGAACATGATTTTATAAGGTGCAAGTTGGCATTAGCTTAAATTCTTCTGCTGCGGCAATTTAGTAACAGCAGTTTCATCGACTTGGTGAAATTTCCAGTGAATCAGTCGCATGACTTTGGCATCAGGACTCCTCAAGAACTTGCGAGGCAGAACATGAATGGGGCAAGATGCTGGACAAGTACATTCACATTTGTAAGCAAGCAGAGGCTCGTTTTCCCCTGAATTATATGTCTTCTGCCACATTTGCCATATGATTAGTTCGTTGTTTCTTAGCATTACTGTTGAATGCGCAAGAATTTGTTTTTCATTTTCCCATTTTAGTGAAGTAGAGAAGACAATGATAGACTGAAGTTTAGGATTATTCGACATTTCAGATGGTTATTTCATGATACTGGTAAAGTTAGTGCTTAATTCGTCTGGATCAGATTGTCTTAATTTCGTTCCCAGAATTCTATACTCCCGGTTGTTCTGAATCAACTGAGTACATAAGGGTGGTGGAAGTTAGAGATATAATTTTTGTATTTGATTAGGTTTATGTTGAGCTCTGTTTTGAGGTTTTAATTGGATAAGTGTACCAAGAAATCTACATACTTATGTAACCTGACATCAGCCCATCATTTGAAACTTTTCGAAGTTAATTGTTGACATGCAAGCTGGAGTCCAGTATCTGACTTGTGTGTGGATACATTAATGTTTCCTTTCTGCAGGTTTCTGTGGAGAAAAGATATATCGAGATGCAAGATATAGGGAAGGGGATACCGCAACTTATTGAGCAGCATGCCATTGAGAAACTGATTACGGGAGCAGCAACAGACAAGCGCTATTTTGTGTATGATTTACTCATGAGTTAATCTTCGTTTATTTAGCATAGACCAGAAGGCAAAAGAAAATGTGACCTGTGGAGTCGGTGAGCTACTTTGAGTCCTAGTCTTAGATTAATGACATTGACTTTGCTCAGAGATTGCATCTTAAATGCATTGCAAAAGTATTTTCTTAAGTCACATACATTATTATATTTTTTATGAAGAGGCGAGATAGTAGTTTGTCATGAATATAGTTCCTCATATCTTTCGTGCGGCAACTCTAGAGAGAGATTACAGTAAAATTCAGTCATTTTGGATGACTACTAATTCAGTTGAGCTGTTATATTTCTTCATAGGTCAGCACCTATTGACAACTGCAGTTTTTTAATAAGTCAGATACAACATTCTCGTTTTTTTTTTCAAAATCTTTGTTTGCTGATGTGCCTTTAGCATTGCAGTGGGATGGCACAACTTAAATCCACAAGCTCAATATTTGTCAACCAGCAGGCGGATCCATCTTGTTACATTTGGTTTATCTGCAAGCGACAGCTAATTTATGTAAGGTAACACAACATGACTGTATTTTTATTTTATGTTTCTCCATGTAGTCAATGACAAGCACAAACATGACAATTATTCCAAAACAAAATTTCGTTTTATGTACTCATTCTTGGTACTTGTCCTGAGCAGGGACAGAGGTAAGGAGTTAAGCCAGTGTAAGTAGTAACTACGACTATATCTTCGAACATAGATGTAAAGAACTTGACTTCTTGGCTTGAATAACATCCGCCGAATTTGGAATAGCATGTAGAGAATTACAGAATAAGTCATTGAAACATAAAAGATGCAACAAGCAGAACATAAGAAAAGTACTTAAATTAAACCGAATGGGCGACCCCTTTGAAATTTCTAACTCGTTGATGCAGGAGCATAGGACAATATTATCTATTTTCTCGAGTTACTGCTCACAGTAACTATAGCAGATTACTAATTTTGGTCTTTGAAGTCCTTTTGGGAATTTACTAAGGCTGCGCATGACAACGATTCTGTGTGTGGGAACAGATTCTTCTCAGAAATGATTCTTTTTGATTCGTGCCCGGAATTGATTCGAGCATTTTAAGGCGTTTGTTAACGGCCCAAAATTCCATCCCTGGAATAGAAAAAGAACATAAATGCGTTTGGTAACGCGCGGAAAATTTCTTTTTATTAATAATATTTTTAAATATTTTAATATTTCTTTCTTTTTTTCTTTTCCTCCTTCTTGGTCATAGCCTGCTCGCCGGCCATGACCGGTAAAATATTTTTTTATTAATAATATTTTTATTAAAAGTATTTTTTCTTTTTTTTGGCCATGGCCTGGTCGCCGGCCATGACCGGTAAAATATTTTTTTTATTAATAATATTTTTTATTAAAAATATATATTTTTATTTTTTTTGGCCATGGCCGGTAAAATTTTTTTTTTTATTAATAATATTTTTATTAAAAATATACATTTTTATTTTTTTGGGCCATGGCCTGGTTGCCGGCCATGGTCGGTAAAATTTTTTTTTTATTAATAATATTTTTTATTAAAATATTTTTATTAAAAATATACATTTTTATTTTTTTTGGCCATGGCCTGGTCGCCGGCCATGGTCGGTAAAATTTTTTTTTTATTAATAATATTTTTTATTAAAATATTTTTATTAAAAATATACATTTTTATTTTTTTTGGCCATGGCCTGGTCGCCGGCCATGGCTGGTAAAATATTTTTTTTTAATAAAAAAAATATATTTTTATTAAAAATATATATTTTTCTTTTTTTTGGCCATGGCCTGATCGCCGGCCATGGCCTGTAAAATATTTTTTTATTAAAATATTTTTATTAAAAATATACATTTTTATTTTTTTTGGCCATGGCCTGGTCGCTGGCCATGGCCGGTAAAATATTTTTATTAAATATATATATTTTTTCTTTTTTTACCATGGCCTGGTCACCGGCCATGGCAGTAAAATATTTTTTTTATTAAAATATTTTTTATTAAAATATTTTTATTAAAAATATATTTTTTTCTTTTTTATGGCCATGGCCTGGTCGCCGGCCATGGCCGGTAAAATATTTTTTATTAATAATATTTTTTATTAAAATATTTTATTCTCGTCAGATCTGGCGAGGGTGATCTTCGGGCCGGACATTAGAAGCTAAATTAAAAACCAAGAAAAGGAACAAGAAAAAAAAATTGATTCTCAAAATTGTTCCCAGAATCAAGAAGCTACTTTTTTTTGATTCTTGATTCTGCTCCAAAACTGATTCTGGGAACAATTTTTGACAAAATTGTGCCCAGAATAAAAAAATTAAACAAACGCATTTCTGTTCCCAAACTGATTCTGGGAACAAAAGAACAGAATCAAACACTGTTTGGCAAGTTGTCATGCGCAGCCTAAGAGTCCTAGCACTATTAGGTTTATTTTCTTAGGTAGAAGCCCTATGAATAAAAGGATTTTATGCCAATTTATTGGTCTCAAAGAGTTGTTTTAAGATTTGTCATTTTTCTAGATTGAGTAAAGTTTCTTTTTCAAGAAAGACATTCTTTTTTTTCCTTGGCCTTGAAGTCCAGAAGACAATCTTTTACATTGTTTCCTTACAAATTGTTCCTATTTGCTCTTGGTATCAAGTACCTCATTAGGGTTTTTCCTACATCACTTGTCATACCTATTACCAAACTCTTAGGCTAAGTTTCAATATGGCATCTTGAGTTTCCAGAGAGCATCCTCATATGCTGATGAGAGTTTATGCGTATTTTTTCTGGAACGTACATTTGAATGCTTTTCAACGTATTCTCTTAAGTTCACTCTGTCCAAAATCACCACCTTCATTTAGTGAAGCAATCTGCTTTATTGCTGCTGAAGTTTCTTCTTCAACTTGCTATGCGTCAGACGCAACTAAGATGTTAGCTGATGTGAATTATTGAAAAATTGTAGGGAAGGAGATATAACAAGCTCAATACGGTTGTTTCCCCATCATCAGTATCAGTGAATTCTGCTGAGGAATCTGGATTACAAAACTTAAGAAGTCCTATAGGTTCATCAGCTCTAGTGAAGTTGAAGATGATATGCCCTTGGTTCGGATTGAGAGAGGCCAGAGGATCCATCATAAATCAGAATCAAGCTCTGTATGTTCTTATAAACCTTCCTATGAACTTTCTTGTGAACCTCCAACACGATATTGTGCTACAATAGAAAAAAATTCTTTACTTTCAAGTGTATCCACTTCAAAAAACTAGGTAATTTCATATACAACTGAACGCTGGGATATTGAGTCATTATTAGGGCCCCAAATTTCCTGACAGGAAGGAAGTAATGATGAACTCTATGAACAACTTGACAGAGCAATGGCAGAGGCTGCAAATGCAAAACAAAATGCATATGAAGAGTGGATCCATCGTCAAAGAGCTTTCTATGAACTTTGTTGTGAGCCTCCAATGCAATATTGTACTAAAGTAGAACAAATTTCTTTACTTTCAAGCGTATCTATCACTTCGATAAAATATATAGTTTTATACTCGAATTACAAGTCATTCCTAAGGGCCCAAATTTCCTGACAGGAAGGAAGTAACAATGAACTGTATGAACAACTTGACAGAGCAATGGCAGAGGCTGCAAATGCAACACTAGAGGCATATGAAGAGAGGATCCATCGTCGAAAAGCTGAAAAAATTGCAATTGATGCTACTTGCAGAGTAATGTTCTTGTCATGATTTTCTTACTATGTTTTGCATGCATAATAGTAATGGATTCTGGAGTATTGGAGATAGAAAGCAGTAATGCAGAGAGACCGATTTAGTTACTAGAATCTACTTTTTTTAGTTTTGTTACCTAGCATCAATGTCTGGACAAAATACTCTAGATTGTGCACTAGAGGATGCAAAAGTCTTGAAGACCAATCTAATGAAGTTCCTTCATCTGGAATTCAAAGATTTTAGAAAGTTAGTATTTCTAAAGTCTGAGCAGACTCTGTTAGGTGGAAGTTGCTCGGTCCATTTTTTATGCAAGTGCTTGGCATGTCACAGTCTTATAAGTTAACATTGGTAGGGACAGAATCTTGAGCATCTTGAAAATTTAATAAAATATACGAACATTGTTGCCTATTTGCAGGTTAAAGCACTTGAGGAGGATCTAAGGAGGACGAATGGTCTCGAGGAATCGCTAGCTAAAGAAAAGGAAGCACTTAAAATGATGAAGAACCAACTCGACGAGTCACGGACACTGCTGGAGAATGCACTGGAGCTACTTGCAAACCAAGCAAGCGAATCCTCGAGTGTAAATCAGCAGGACTTCCTTTCTGAATTTTCTTTCTCAGAAATTATGGAAGCTACCGACAGTTTCAGTCCATCCTTGAGGATTGACGTAGGAGAATATGGGAGCACTTATAAAAGCATTTTTGTCACATCCCAGTGATCATAAAGATGTTCTTCCAAGGATGCTTACGGTACCATCAAGAGGTAAGGCGATCGCAGTCTAAGCATATTTTCCTGGAAGAATAGTTGAAGTTGTTTTGACAAATGATTAGAAGTATGCAGGCTTATATCACGGTCCATCAACTAAATAGGCAATCTAAAATATAAAGATTGGGAGGTTTTTCAATTTTCATTTCATTTTAGGCAAATTAAAAACTTTTTAACTTCTCCGTTCAAGAAGTTGGAGAGACGATTGACTCATGAAATTTTAGAAGGTCCTAAGTGGAAACTCTGACAAATTTGTGGGTTTTGTCTCAGGTCCAAACAGCAAGTAAACTAAGACATCCGAATTTGATTTACCTCATCGGAGTCTGCACTGAAGATTGGACTCTTATCTGTGAGTATCCCCCCAGTGGTAGCCTTGAAGACCGACTCTGCTGCACAGGCAACACTGCACCTCTATCATGGCAAACTCGTGTACGCATTTGTACGGAAACACGTGCTGCAATAATTTTTCTACATTACCACGGTGGCATAGCACATGGTGACCTGAAACCAGAAAATATTCTTCTCGACACCAACTTCCTGCCGAAACTAATAAAATCTGGACTGTCCCTTGAGCCAATGGCGGGAGAACGATCGTTTGCCTCAGATGTTTATTCTTTCGGCCTTATAGTATTGCAGTTACTGATCGGGAAATCGGCCTTGATTTTGAAAGAGACAGTGCAAGACTCATTCATTGTGGAGAACTTAAATTGCATATTGGATTCTACAGCCGGGCACTGGCCATTTGAGCAAGCCAGAAAGCTGGCTCACCTGGCATTGAGGTGCTGTCATATAAATCCCAGCACCGGCCTGAGCTCAAGTCCAAAGTGTGGCCGGTACTCGAGCAGATGCGAATTCTTAGTGAAGGTTCATCGTCCATTAGGTCAGGTCCTGAAGAGCCTAGCCCGCCTCGTCCATCTTTCATTTGTCCAATCTACCAGGTAAGTTTGCTTATTGTTTCTGTGTTAGGATATTTATCACTGTTTAATCTCTGGCTATGCCTATGTCGGCATGATTATGTTTATATTACTTTGAAATGGTTGTAAACCTCATAGACATTTTATATTAGGAAATTATGCAAAATCCCCACGTGGCAGCAGATGGTTTTACCTATGAGGCAGATGCAATAAGGTGTTGGTTTGCCAGTGGCCACGATACTTCACCTATGACGAATCTCCGGCTTGCGAACCTTGATCTCGTCCCAAATCAGACTCTGCGATCTGCAATTCAAGATTGGTTGCAAGACCATTGAACCCTAAAATCAATGTCCTTGTTCACAGCAACTGTGAACTCGACAAGAGCGGTTGAACTTTTCATTCCGAGCTATGGACTGCGCAGAGATTGCAGACTTTGGTCTGGCACTGAAATGTATCATCACCCATAATTCTTCAGTTCCTAGGTCTGGGATGTTCTTTTGGCATAATATTTTTGGTTGTATATGCATCTGCACAAACCATGAACGGATTTTTAGGCTTGCATATGCTACAAAAATTTACTGCTAAACTGCATGACCGCGGCTTTTGTTAGGCGAAAAGCCCGTGACAAGAGTCTGAGATAAAGAATCAATGGTGAGCACTGACGCGTTCCTTTAGCATAAGGGGAAAATTCCAATTTGGGGTTCAAAGTGGGGCCATTTTCTCAATTTGGGGTCCCAAGTGGACTTAGTGCCAAATTGGTACCCAAAGTCCCCAAAAAGTGTCAAATAAGGGTCTGGGTTGCCGGCCGGCCAAAATACCCGCCGGCCGGCGATCCCGCGACTGTTCCGGCTAACGGAAACAGTGTTTTTATTTATTTATTTTTTTCTGTTTTTTTCTTTTCCTTTTCCTCTTTTTTTTTTTCTCCTTTCCCTCCGCCGGCCATTGCCGGGGCCTGCGGAGGTGGCCCTCGCCAGCGAGGGCGACCCAGGGTCGGGCGAGGGTCGCCCTCACCGGCGTCGAGTGAGGGCCGCCCTCACCTGGGGCCGGGCGGGCGAGGGCGACCCAGGGCGGGCGGGCGAGGTCGCGCCTCGCCGGCGTCGGGCGAGGCCGCCCTCGCGCGGCGGGGACCCGGTGGGCGGGCGAGGGCGACCCTCGCTAGATCCGGCGAGCATCCCTCGCCGGATCGCGGCGGCGGCCTCGCCCTCGCCGGCGACCCAGGGCCGAGCGAGGGTCGCCCGACGCCGGCGAGGGCGAGGGCCGTCCTCGCACGGGTTTGGGCGGGCGAGGCGACCCTCGCCCGGCCCTGGGTCCCCCTCGCCGGCGAGGGCTGCCTCCGCCTGAGGCCGGCGACCTCCGCCGGCCCCGGCAATGGCCGGCGGAGGGAAAGGAGAAAAAAAAAAGAGGAAAAGGAAAAGAAAAAAAAAGAAAAAAGAAAAAAAAATAAAAATACTGTTTCCGTTCGCGACTGATCAGCGGATCGCCGGCCGACGATATTTGGCCGGCCACACCTGACTTTATTTGACACTTTTTAGGGACTTTGGGTATCAATTTGGTACTAAGTCCACTTGGGACCCCAAATTGAGAAAATAGCCTCACTTTGGACCATAAATTGGAATTTTCGCTTTAGCATAATGGGTTCATAAAAAGATGGATTTTCTGAAGAAAAGCTCTCACCTTTCGGTGCAAAAATGGAGACTAATTATGCAGTCTCGCCTGAGAGTGAGAGAGAGGGATGAACTCTCAATAGTCAACATGGGCATAAACCCTTCTCCCTTAGGGTTTTAGCAATTCAATTGGGGGCAAGGGGGACATAATGAAAGTTTGCTTTCATAATAATTGTAGACTCCAATAAAAAAAAGAAAAGAATTAAGTTCCAGAGCTGAGTCATGCAAATTAAGCAGCCACTGAAGAGGAAAAGCTTAAAAACCCAATGAGTTGGATTTCTATTATCCACACCCCCTCGCACTTTTGGCGACACTAATGAATTTTGCATGTATTCGTCGGGTCAGACAATGAAAATTAGAGAAAAAAGAGAGCATTTAACGAATGAGGAAATATACAAATGTTAAATATCTTTTCTTGGATTAGGAAAATGCTACAGGATTTCAAACGGGTCAAAATTGCGCGTACTTTTAGGGAAGGAAACTAATGTGCAGATTGATTAGCAAATCGAATATTTCGATCGCCCGATCTAAATTACACTCAAAATTTACTTTCTTTGTTGATAGGAGATCAGATAGTATTAAGTTTTATTAGAGTAACATTTCTTACCAAGAAAAAAGTAAATTCATCCCATTAACTCCGAGAAATGCTTAAATTATGGTAGGAAAATCTTCAAGAATCCAATTGTATACTGCAAGTACATATAGTCTTACCTAATAAAGCAAATGTGCATTTCCATGGAGACCCGTGAAACAAAGGTAACAAAGAAAAAATCTCTATGAGAATTTTAGCAGAATATGCATATTTAGTAACTCAATCGCAATTATTTTTTGGAATCTTGCCTTCACTCAAACTCCAAAAATACCGAACTTTAGACATCTATTTAAACCCACTTCGTTTTGGATACATAAGCACATATCTTTCACAATCATATACCTTAGACAATCAATCAAGCCGAATATACTTGGAAATGGAGAAGGGTCAAGCCAAGCTTAGCGCAATGGTCTTTCTATTGGTGATTGCATCCAGTAGGTTTTTTCTCATCTTTCAATTACTATTATTATTTCTTAACGTAGAACTGCGCTAATGAGTTCCTCCACATTTTCCTTCCTTTAAAGGTCTTGCCGTCTCACATGCTCAAACAAGAGTTGCACCAGGAGAGAGCTGGGATCTCTCGGATCTTCGGAAAGGACCAGGAGAAACTTGTATTGGATCTTGTCCTGTTCCGCAGCGTCCCGCCTTGGTAAATGGCAAATGCGTGTGTGTTCCGCCTCAAAGAGAAAAACTTGTATGAGGAGGAGAGGAAGCAAAAAAGAAAAGGGAATTTCGGTCTTAATAAAATGGGTTCATACTATTGAGTATTTGACTTTTTGGATGGTCTTGAAAATTTCCGTGGTCGAAATCGATCGATTGCATCCTAGTATTTTATAACTAGGTAATCAAAAGTGATGGTCCTATTTCTTATGTATGTGTCGGATGAACGATTAGCGATGGATAAGAGAAGACGAAAGAGTGGCACACCTGATATCCTCACATCTTTGAATATGACGGCAAAGAAATTCAGAACCTAGTTTGAATATTCTAACAAGGTATGCTTTAGGTTGACAAGAATAATGAAGTGCTGAAATTGAGGATATAAAGGGAAATTTGAAGATATCGGAGATCATTTTGGTTGTGATCGTATTTTACCATCCTTTCCGATCACTTGACAATTAAGTTTGGGAAAATCTTTACATAAGGGCTTGGAGTGAAACTATTTTCTCGAAAGAGAACTCAAAGTAGATTTTCCTAAAGGATTAATGGCTGATTCGATTTTACAAGGAATAACTACTAAATTATCCCGCATTGCGTATAAATCATCAGGGAACAAAATGTCAATGTAGATAATATGCAAAAACGTAATAATTGTTAAAATTAGCAATTGCTCGAGTGTGGCGTGTGTCCAAGAAACTGACTATTAGATTAGCGAATGACTTAATTAATGAATATCTAAACAATTGAGTTATGGGAAGAAACTATTTATTAAAGTTTACGACAGAAATAAATTGTTAGGTACATATGGGAAGTAAAAATATCTCAATATCTAAAATACTTTAGGAATCTTGTTGTTGGATGGAAAACCCTCAAATCTTAATATTTAAGTACACGAGAGATAATATAGGATTATTGACACAATATGTGTAAAAGCAATTAGTTAAGGATATTTAGGAACGTAAAGAACGTTTAGATGCGTTAAATGTAGGTTGAATGGAACGAATTAGTAAATAAGTGTAGTAAAAAGTCTTGCACAATTATCATAATTTGCATTAATGGACAAAGAACATGTATTTTTCTAAACGCTTCGATCTTTTTCATTTAGGAAAAATGTTAGATTATATAAAATAAGAAATTAATGAAAATCTATTGAAAAAGACACGAAAATAAAATCAAACTATCCGAGGGAGGCAAGTACTATTCTTAAGGATAATTCCGCTTTTCGGAGTACGAAACTTTGTGTGATAGGCTCTAGTGGCTATCCTCTCAATATAAAACAGACCTTCTTCAATACTATGCACTGAATATTGGAAGGAACAGAAATATCGTTTTGTGTATAACCTAGCAAAGAAAGAAAATAAGAAAAGGAAAATCTCTTTTCTGATTTATTTTCTTCAAGGGTTATATGGTTTGAAATTTTTATATTGGAACAAAAAAAAAAGAGAAGTTAAAAAGACCATTATAAATTTATTGATAATTAATAGATGACTCTTATATGGCCGTAACAAATGATGGAGAGTTTATGAAGAAATAAAACAAAGTTACAAAGCCTTAGACTGTCGTTACAAAGCTATTATAAAACGTTACAAACTGTTTTATGTTAATAACAGACAGAAACCATTACAAATTGATGACAGTAAAAAACCGTTACAAAATTAATAACTTTAAATATCCAACATTGTGACAAGAGTTTGATGTACGGACAACAAAATAATAAAGGATAGGAAAATCGTTGACATTTTTGTAAATATGAGTTAGACGTCAAATTTAAAATTTTGCTTTCATAATAATTATAGACTCCAACAAAAAAAAAGAATTAAGTTCCAGAGCTGAGTCATGCAAATTAAGCAGCCACTGAAGAGGAAAAGCTTAAAACCCAATGAGTTGGATTTCTATTATTCACACCCCTCGCACTTTCCGCAGTACTAATGAATTTTGCATCTATTCGTCGGGTCAGACAATAAAAATTAGAGAAAAAAGAGAGCATTTGATGAATGAGGAAATATATACATGTTAGATATCTTTTCTTATATTAGGATTATATTAGAGAATTTCAAACATGTCAAAATCGTATATTCTTTTAGCGAAGGAAACTAATGTGTAGATTGATTACCAAATAAGATATTTCGATCATCCGATCTAAATTACACTCTAGCATTAGATGGACCACCGAGAGATTTACTTCCTTTATTAATAGGAGATCAGATAAAATTAAGTTTTATTAGAGAGTAACATTTCTTAGCATAAACATAGTAAATTCATCCCATTAACTCCTAGAAATGCTCAAATTATGGTAGGAAATTCTCGAAGTAGCCAATTGTATACCGCGAGTACTGATAGTCTTACCTAATAAAGCAAACGTGCATTTCCATGGAGATCCGCGAATAAAGGTAACAAAGATAAAATCTCTATGAGAATATGAATATGTAGCAAGTCAATTACCACTCAGTTTTTTGAATCTTGCATTTAATCAGACTCCAAAAATACCAAACTTTAGACATCTATATAAACATACTTCAATGGGACACAAACACATATCTGTCACGCTCATATATCCTACACAGTCGATCGAGCCAAATATCGTTGGAAATGGAGAAGGGTCAAACCAAGCTCAGCGCAATAGTCTTTCTATTGGTAATTGCATTCGGTATGTCACGCCCCGAACCCCAACGGGCTCGCGACACCCCTCGATGGTCGATCATTGAATGCGACGTCCCAGACACGTCGCCGACCCAACTCAAACATCAGAGATAAAGGCAAGCGGAAGCGAATTTAAAACAACCCAGACAATAAAATATGACAAAGGGATAGCACAAAATAATAATTCCAAATACACAACATCAAAAGGGAATAGTTGTGGGGTATCCTACTTCGCTATACAAAAGAAGGGCACACAAAATATGGGGTAACTTGACCCGTCCTCCATCCCCGAGATACCCTGGTGGCGTCTCCAATCAATCACGGTCGCAGATCTGAAAATGGTTATATAATAACCGTGAGAACGAGTCTCAATAAGCAACCCCCTATACCCCACATAGGCCAATGCGTACCCAGACAAGTTGTAACATGCAATCTAACCGATAACTTATATATAAATCACATCAATGGACTTACCTCGCCATCCAATCACATGCCCACACTGTACATTAGTCAAATCACATTAGTGCATCCAGCAGAGCTCATATTCGGATCACACAAGGAAGTTTTTCCATGCATCATACAATAACACTCGCGCGTGTCTCGATTATAAGGTAAAACCACTTGGGCACGTCCCATACCATGCCTAGCGATATTCACCTCATAATCAAACACTATGCAACATGCGTGGTCCGACCAACTTTCTCACGACCTCCCGGGTCCTTTCACCGCCGCGCCCATCGCGCGCTCGGGCCCATTCTCACGACCCGCGCTATCGCGCCTCGGGTCGCCCCTCGAGATCAAGCCGGGCTCTGTCCTCACTGGACATTTCACACTTTCTCACGACCCGCGCTATTGCGCCTCAGTCAGCCCTCAGATCAAGCCGGGCTCTGTCCCTCACTGGACATTTCACACTTTCTCACGACCCGCGCTACTGCGCCTCAGGTCAGCCCTTAGATCAAGCCGGGCTCCGTCCCGCGTAACCACGCCTCAGGACATTTTTTTTCCCTTTCCAATGACCCGCGTAACCTACGCCTCAGGTCTAACTCACCTTTCATAGCCCGCGTAAACACGCCTCAGGCTCAGCCCTCCGATCGATCCGGGCTTTTCTCATGCACATGCACCACAACACAAAATTCACCATGCTCTTAGTCATTTAAATCAATTTCAATCACCACCCATTCACCAATGTCAATCTAGCACGCCACATCGCCAACTCAATTCATGCTCCCGACATCGGCCCACCGACCCGACATTCAAGTCGGCACATTCAATTAATCCAATTCACCCACAAGCGCCACGACAATTCAGTCAGGCATATTTATCTCAGTCAATCACTAAATCAGCCGCACAATTATCGCCACAATAATTCACCAATTAAGCACAATCAGTCAAATTAGCCCACGCCTAATTAAAGTCCTAAGCCAGTACTAAATTTCACCCTAAACAAGTCTAAAAATACCCAAAGTACTAGGTAGGGTTTAGGAAATCACTTACTTGGTTTTGGCCCGGAGAAAATCGGCTCGGGCCTAAAATGGCCCGGTGAACAAGGCTTCGAACCGGGCGCGGGCACGGGTCAATCTGGGGCGCGGTGGCCGGCCAACGCGGCACAATGGCCGGACGGCGCGCTGGCGCTGCTGGCGCGGTGGCCGAACGGCATGCCCGGGCGCACGGCAAGCCGGGAACGGGCGAGGTGCCAGGGGCCGAACGGCAAGGCGCCGGGCCACGGCCGGCGACGCGCCGTCGGGCCTGACGGGCGACGCGCCGGGTCGGACGGGCACGGCGCCGGCAAGCTCGGCCATGGCCGGGCTGGCGGGTGCTTGGCTACGGCCGGGCTGGCCCGAGCCTTGGCCACGGCTTACTGGGCCGGGCCGGGGCCGGCCGGCTAGCTGGCCTCGGGCGGCGACCGGCGGCGGTGGCGACTACGGCGACGGCGACGGCGGCGGTGGTAGCGGCGGCGGACGACGAGCCGCAGGAGGGTGGAGGTCGGCCGGGGGTGGAGGCGAGAGGGAGAGAGAGAAGAAGTCTGGGGGCGAGGGGGTGGCGGACCGGTGGCGACGCGCGGCACAGGCCAGCAGCGGCGGCAGCGTAGCGGCGACGGCGGCGGCAACTGCAATGACGCGGCGGCGACGAGCCTGGAGGAGATATGGAGGTCGGCTTGGGCGGTGAGGGCGAGGGTGAGGGAGAGAGAAGGCGAGGCCGAGAAGGGGGGGCAACGGCGACGAGCTGGCCGGACGAGCCGGGTGACGGGCGAGGCTGGCCGGCAGCAGCGGCGACGGGCGGCTAGGCGACGCGGCGGCGACTCGCGGCAGCTGAACGGCGGGCGAGCCGAGCTCACGCGCTCGGGAGGAGGAGAAGGCAGAGTCGGGGCGGCTAGGCGGAGGTGGCGGTCGGATGGTGTGCGGTGGTGACGAGCGGCGGAGGTCGGTCCGGCGAGCGGCGATTGGCGA